CCTATAGGTGCCCAGGGAGGCCGAGTTATTCTCCTGGCCAGCTGTTGTAATGCTCAGCTGCTTGTAGTTGTTGTGGGCCCTTCAGTCTCTTCATCAGGTGTGGGGAGCCTCAGCACAGTTGGCTGCAAGTTCTAATACCACATTTGTGTTGCAGTATTTCTTTTAAGTGAGTAGGTTCCCAGCGTGGCAGGTTGTCAGGCTCAGGGGCTTACAATTGCTATAAGCGTCCAGCCTTTAGGTCTCTTGTCAGCTCTCTGAGGATTGCAGCTGCGTGGGGCTGGCTTCAGGCACAGGAGCACCCAATTGTTTCTGGCTTTGGAAGGTGGGGCAAACCCTCTATGTGGGTCTCTGAGAAGCACAAGTCTTCTGCAGCTGACAAGCCCTGCTGCCCACAGGTCCACACACACAGTCTACACAGTCCTGCCCCATGTGTGTGCCCCAACCTCCCAAAGTGGACCCAGTCTCTCCACGGCAGGAGCCCCACACACTCCACCACCACCCCACACTCTCCACCCACTCCTTGTGCACGTCCTGCCCCACTGAAGTCGGTTCCGTTGCCAGGCAGCAGAGAATCCAGTCACCAATCTATGCAGGCCCACAAGTTGCCTGAGGGCTTGTTATTGGGTGGGGCCAGTCTCTAGGGTGGGCTGCCTGCCCTGGCTGAGCTGGATTAAATCAGTGCTCTAGCAGGTGGGGCTGACCCTGGGCTAGTAGGCCTCAGGGAGAACTCCAATGGCGTCTGTGTCAGCAGTGCCACACCAGGCCACAACAATGGCTGCCGCCAATGTCCCAGTCCGTGGAGAGGTCTCACTCCTCACCGAGATGCACTCAGGGCCTATTAGGTGAGTCTCTTTTCACCACAGCACTGTGCACCTTTCCTTCTGGTGATTTTAGGTTGCTTTCTGAAACAGGTGAGTTTGTGTATGGGCCCTTTAAGAGCCAGTTTTAATGTCTTTGTGAACCAGCTTTTCTGGGGGTACTCCCCAATGTTTTAGTAGCAGGCAAAGTAAGATATTATGCAACTCGTCTTGATTGTGCTGGGTCCACAAAATGCCCATAGCGGGGGCGCTCCCCGGCTCAGGGCCCCGCTCCTCCAGGGAGGGCTGCGTACCTGTGCACTGCTCCTGGGCAGCCGGAAGCGCTGCGGCTTGTGAAGGCAGCGTTTTTCCTCTCCAGAAGGGAGTCTCTGCCTCTTCCACCTCAATTAGGATTATCCATTGTTGCAGGAGTTCCTCTTATCCAGTTTTCAGTTCTGTCTCAGGGGTAGTTTTTCCACGAGTAGTTGTAAATTGGCTGTGTCCGCGAGGGGAGGTGAGTTCAGAGTCTGTCTACGCCGCCATCTTGACTTCCTCTCTCATTCACCAAATATTATATGATTGTCGATATTGTTAACATTTATTTTTTGTTGTTAATATTATTAATTATAATTATTAACATTAAATTATTACTAAAAATCTACTATGTTCAAGGCAAAGAGGATATCAAAGTAAACAAGATAAAAATCCCTGCTTGCACGGAGCTTACATTCTGCTAGGAGGAGACAGACAGTAGTAAACATATAGAGAAGTAAAATATATAGTATGTCAGTCTGTAATGAATGGTATGGAGAAATACCAAGCAGGGCGATGGTACAGACAGTGCAAAGAGAATGGGAGTATAAATCAGAAGTGCTGGGTTTTGACATATATTGCTTGAGAGGTTTTGTGGGTTTGTTTGTTTTTTAATCTTCCTCTCAGTATAAGGAATATTTTCCTTTCTCACGGGGTTTCCCTGCTAAAGTTCTGACTAGGACTCATGGCCCACTATAGTTTGGACATTAGTTGTTTTTCAAAGAAGACAATGAAATTGTGCTAATCAAATTACATCAATCTTTTAAAAAAAATCCGATTGCCAGTTAATTTAACAGCACTTATGGATGCCACTGGGAGGCAGGGCAAAGCTGGTGGAACGGAAAATGGAGAAAAAGACATAGAAGCAGAAGGCAGAAAGGAGAGGGAGAAAAGAATCATCAAAGGAAACGGTGAGACTGATCTGACCAGGGCTGGCGCGGGTGGGAGGCTTTGGCCTCATGACGTTGACCGCTCCTGAAACGGCCCCTGACCGCCCCCTTGTGGCTGCCAGTACACCCTTCCGAGCCAACACACTCCAGGAAAAGAAAATTGTTTAAAATGACAAAGCGACCTATAGCGATTGTGCTGCACTTCCCTGCCCCTTCCCTCCCAATTTAGCAAAATGCTGTTATTCTTAGAAGGTAAATCCTCTAGGCGGTCCCTGTCACAAGCTAGTTACAATGTGGCAATAGACAATCCTCTGTAATCCATGACCGAAAGAACCAGAATATCATCCCAGGTACTCTCTCTATTCTGGAGATTGAGGCTAAGGCCCATGTTTCCCGGCGGAACTAGTAGGAACTTCCCGAAGAAGCTTTGAATCTGACTTTAAAACGCACATTGACATATTCTGGCACACACAGGTTTCAGCGTATTTGACTGCCAATGCCGCGTCAGGCCCCAAGGTACAAAGGGAAACAAGAAAGGACACAGGCACCGCTTTCGTGAAGCGAGGGGATGTGGGGCAGAAGTTATCCAACAAGCGCACACGTAAATGTGAACAACCCTACCGATATAAACACCGCGAAGGAAATGAGAGAAGGTTTCTCTGAGGAAGCGACGCTCCACTGACAACCACGCAAAAGGGCGGGAAATGCATTCCATTAGAGGGAGCAACATCTTTTATGGTTTTATCGGTTAACTGGGGCCCCATGTTTCCTTTGATGAGTCTCCCTAGTGAAGAAGGCAAGAAAAATGAATCAATCATTTTAAGAACTAAGGCTCGCTGCCTACGACGCTCTGAGAGCCCCCGGGAGCGCGGTAAGCCCAGGCGGGGTCGCCTTGGAGTTCTCGCGAGGTCCGCAAGTGCTCAAAAGGACCGCCAGGTGCGCGTGCGCGGCGGACGCGGGAGCGAACGGCGGTTACAACGGGAGCTTGGTGGACCTGGCTGGGGGCGCCTAGGGATGCCGCGGCTCTTCGACGTGTGTCTGCTGTTGCTCGGCCTCCCGCTGGTCGCGTTTTCCGTTCAGCTAAGCGACATCAGCAGAGCCAGGAAGCTGTGCGGCAGGCACCTACTGAAAGAAATAGTCAAACTCTGTGGCAATGCTAGCTGGAGCCAGTTCGAGGAGGAAACTCCCACACCGCTGCTCTCCCAGGCCACCGAGAGGGTTGACACCTTCATCCCCGACCGCTTGGAAAGCTCCCAAACCGCTTTCCCGGTCTGGGGGAGAGGCACAAACCCAGGTAAAAATCTAAACCAAAGGCTTGTTTGTTCATCTCTGTACATTTCTTATCCCTAAATCTGCTCTCCCAGGGGGTGAGTTCTCCAGGAAGTGGAATTTGTGCCTAGTACACAGGTAAATAAAAATTTTTATAAACCAGTAAATCGACGATATACAAAACTTCTATGAAACTTTTTTTTTTTTTTTAACTTAGAGGAAATAATTGCACATATAAGTCTACACATTTATGTAGGAATGCTGCTCTTTCCTAGCTTTCCCTTTCTGGAGTACCCTTGTCACCTGACAAACTCCATTTTGTCCTTCAAAGCCCAACTTGGGTATCGTTTTCCCTGTGAAGTCATCGCTGACCGTTTCATAGCTCCTCACTCCATTCTCCGTCTACCACAGCATCCAACACATAGTTCTGTTTGACTACCGTCAGGGCTAGCTACATAATTGGCCAGGCCCAGTGCAAGATAAAAACACAGGGCCCCTTGTTTAAAATGCAGGAAAGTTAAAAATACTAAAATAGAAAGCTTTTTTTTCCAGGCCGGTCCCGTGGCTTAGCGGTTAAGTGCGCGCGCTCGGCTACTGGTGGCCCGGGTTCAGATCGCGGGCGCGCAACGAGGCACCGCTTCTCCCGCTTCTCCGGCCATGCAGAGGCCGCGTCCCACACACAGCAACTAGAAGGATGTGCAACTATGACATACAACTGTCTACTGGGGCTGGGGGGGGGGAAGGAGGAGGATTGGCAATAGATGTTAGCTCAGAGCGGTCTTCTCAGCAAAAAGAAGACGATTAGCATGGATGTTAGCTCAGGCCTGGTCTTCCTCACTAAATAAATAAAGCTTTTTTCCTTTTTTGTGCGTTTCTCCTCTGCTCACACACATGGCACTCAAATTTTGTCCCATCAGACTTGACTTAAAAGTTCACATACTTAACACTTCACTTAACAAGTTCAGAGATAAAATTTTGAGAATTTCAAGACTGTGACAAAAGCACATTACAGGCCCCTATTAACTTCTTTTTAAATGAATGAATGAAAAAGATTACTGCTAAGGGAATGGAAACTTTTAAAGGCCGAAACAATAGAAACCATCAGACTGAATCTTGATCATTTTCCACCATCAAACCTACCAACATATAAACTCACTTTATCCTGTTCTTGTAATGAAGTGTCTCTCCCCAAAGTCTTCCACTTATACTTTATTAGTTCAGTGATTCTCACACTTTAATGTGCATATGAATCACCTGGGGAATACTGTTAATATACAGATTCCAATTCGGTAAGTTTGGGGTGGGGCCTGAGAGTCTACAGTTTTACAAGCTCCGGGGTGATGCTGATGCTGCTAGTTGGATAACGCTTTTTGAGTAACAAAGGTCTAGTTCACCTCTCTATGTCTTCCTTATTCTTTTCTCCCAGAAATACAAGGAGGACCTTCCCTTTCTACTTCATGTTGGGTGGGCATTTCCCTCAAATCAAATGCTGTGCTCTCACTACCTATACTATAGACAAAATTTTACCTTCAGACGTCCAAGCTTGAGTTTTTTATTTAAAAAGAGCTTGGAATTCCTTTCCTTGAAAAAGAGACTGTTTTTCCAGGTGTTGTTCACACTCCCCTGGAGGAATAAATGTCATTAACAATGAGGAGGAAGCTGCAGTGAAACGAGATTTGTAGGAAATAAAAACTTATCTGACAATATTTCAGAATTGTCATACTCATTAAACATGTTACTATGGGAGTATGTAAACTATGTAAAGGGCACTTTGCTGAAGTGGAAATATCATGTGGCAGTACAGCCATAGTTGTTTTAAAATATATGGAAGAATGAAAAATGGATTTAGGTTATCAATATGAATTTGTATTAAAATTTTAGAAACTATTAATCTATCAGGAAAGATGATATTTAATCTGTCCTGTTAATTTCCAGTGAATAATAAATTTAGAAGCTGTAGAGAGGTATGTGTTCCCAATATAGATTCCAATATAGAATATATAATTATACCATTTCTTTTGCACATGAATGTGGCTGAAAAGTTGATTAACTTTTATATAGCTTGTACCAGCAGGATACATTTCTGTTATATCAAGTCAATTATCAACAATTTTAATCTTCTGATAAGCTATTTCAGTCTGACAAAGGAAAAGATAGTTTGGTACATTGATACTCAACAATGTGGCAGTAAAGCCATAGTTGTTTTAAAATATATGGAAGACTGAAAAATGGATTTAGGTTATCAATATGATAACCTAAATTTGAAACCTTTTTTTCAGAGCTACTCATATATAACTTGAATCTGAAATTGTGTGCTTCTTGTTAGTGGATCCTGAAGGTATGGACCGTGTCTCCAAGACCTACCCCAGAATGTGGCACCATGAAGCTAACATCGTATATCTAAATGCTGGCTGAGTATGGTGCTTCCCAGCTCTTGGTGCCAGGTGAAACCATTAATGTTTCATCACCAGCTTTTCATGATCCATAAATCCTATTCCAGTTAGATTGGCCATATTCTCCCATTCTTGGTCTTCATTCATCTATTCTTGGCTTTTTGTTTGTTTCTTAGATATCATTATCACAATTGGGCCATGCAGGGCCCCTCTCTTTTTATATTAATTCAACAAAATTTGAGTGCCTGTTATGTGCTAGGCATTCTTCTTGGTGCTTGGGATGTAAGAGTGAATGGTTTCACTCAGGAGGCAGTGAAGGCTCCTGCCCTCATGAAGCTTACAGAATAGTGAAGATAGACAATAAACATAAGTAAATTTTACAGTATGTTACAAGATGATTAGTCTTCACATATCTCCTTTCTCCACTCCCATTCTCCTCCTCCCATAGACAACCATTCCAATGTGTTTGTTATGTAATTTTTTGTATATTTTTTTTGCAAATTGTGCATTATTTCCTGTACATGTATCTTAAAAATATATCTAAATGGTATTTAAGATCTATATCTTATTATTGCTATATGAACATTTAGTCCATTGCTTTGAACTGCTGCATAATATTCATATGCATTTCCCACATTTTACTTATTCATTCTTTCAGCAATGAACACCTAACCTGTATAGCCTGACACTATAAATGACACGGCACTGAACCTCATTGTATGTGCCCCCTTATGGACCTGTGTGGACATTTCTCTGGGTTATATACCTAAGGGTAGAATTGCTGTGTCATAAAATATGTGTATGCTTAATTTGCTTGAAGTGTGTCAGATTGCTCTACAGAATGGCTACACCACCAGTGCATGAAGATTCCTTTGTTCTCATATCCATTCCATTAATTAATATTATACAATTTTTAACTTTTGCCAGTGTGATAGCCAGTCTCATTTTTGTCTTAACTTGCTCTTGAGCACCTCTTCATATGCATATTGGCCTTTTGGGTTTCTTTTTTCTAAAAGCTTCCTGTTTATATATTTTGTCCATTTTTTGTTGGAATTGTTATTTTCCAGTTTTTTTGTAAGAGTTATTCGAAATCTAGGTACAATAGTAATTAGTTGTTGATTTTAGATATTGCAAATATGTCCTATTCTATCATCTGTCTATTGGTGTTGTTTAACAGAAAGCCCTGATTTTATATAATTAGGCAATGAGTGTTTTGCCTCATTGTTCGTACTTTTGAAATTTTGTTTTAGAGGTCCTTTTCTGTCCCTCTGTTAACGTTATAGTCTTACGTTTCGCATTAGGTCCTTAATTCTTCTAGGGCCCATTTTTGGTTCTGTTCTGGCTAGAGATACTCGCTTAGTTTTCTCACTAAGTCTTAGTTTTTTGTCTACGTAAGAAGCTAGTTTTCTCAACACAATCTACTAAACAATCATTCTTTTCTCATTGATTTATAGAGCCACCTTTATTGTTTATTAAGTTTGTCTGAGCTTCCTATTCTATTTAATGGGTCTTTTTGTTTGACCTTGTACCATTACTACACTGTTTAATACTGTGACTCTGTAGGATGTCATATATCGGGGAGGGCAAGTCTCCAGTGTTTATTTTTTTCCCTGTAAGATTGACTAAGCTAATCCTTAATCTTTAGTCTTCCATATATATTTAAAAGTAAGCTTATTGAATTGCTTTTTTAAAAATCCATCTGGAATTTTAATTGGGATACATGGAATATGTAGATTAATTTGAAGAGAATTGACATGTTTTTAACAAAGTCATTCCAACCAAACGCATCTATTATTAGCATTTTAAAGTTTTCTCTATCAAGACTTTATTGTTGGTTAAGTTAATGCTTAATACTTTGTTTTTGTTACTATTGTAAATACTTGTTAATTGTATTTTCTAGTTAGTGATTGTAGGTTAGAGAAATGTAATTGATTTTTATAGGTTGATCTTTATCTAGTAATTATGCTGAACTATCTTAATAGTTCTAACAGTTTGTTTCTGTAGATTTTTCTATCATTTACAAATGATAGTTCTGTCACTTCCTTTCTAAACCTTATACCAGTCTTTTATTTTTCTTATAGCATTGGCCAGGTCCTCTAGTACTGTTAAGTAGTGGTGATAGTGGGATGTTTTGTCTTGTCCCCAGTTTTAAAGGGGAATGCATTTAAATTTCTCCATTAGAGAAATTTATGCTGTATAGCCTTTGTCAAGATAAGGAAGCTGCTAAGAGGTACTATTTAATCATTATAAATAGGGCTGAACTTTATTAAGGCCTTTTTTTGGGCATCCTTTTGCATAATCATGTGATTTTTCTCTTTTATGAATTAATTCAGCAAATATTTATTGGGTACCTGCTAAGTGCCAGGCGCTGCTCTAGACCCTTGGAATATATCAGTAAACAAAACAGACAAAGATCCCTGGCCTCATGGAGCTTGCATAAGTAATAAACATAATAAATAAGTAAATATTAGAAGGTAATAATGCAATAGAAAAACAATAAGTGAAACAGGATAAAGGAGATCAAGACTGCAGGGGGTTGGAGGGTGGGGTATAGTATTAAATAGTGTGATCAAGGTAGGCCTCATTGAAAAGGTAAGATTTGAGAAAGGAGAAGGTAAAGAAGTTAGCCAAGTAGATATCTGGAGAAAGAGTGTTTAGGTAGAGGAAAGAGCAGAGCACATACACTTCTGCCTTGTGTATACAGGGAACAACAAGGAGGCCAGCTGGAGCTGAGAGAGTGAGGCGGAAGTAGTAGAAGGTAAGGTCAGAGAGGTAACGGGCAGGCCAGATAAAATAGGGTCTTTTAGACCCTATTTTAAGGGTCTTTGGCTTTTACTCTGAGTGATGCAAAGAGTCATTACAGATTTTTGAGCAGAGTAGTGACGTAACTGACATTTTAAAGGGATCACTCTGGCTACTGTGTTGAGGATAGACTATAGGGAGGCAAGAGTAGAAGCTGAGAGACCTGTTAGGGAGGATATTAGAGATGATAGCAGCTGGATGAGGATGGTAACAGTGGAAGTAGTGAAAATTGTTATATTGTAGATATATTCAGGTAGATTTTATGTGAGATTTGAGAAAAAAGAGAAATCAAAAATGACTGCAATTGTTTAAAAAAAATGTGATTCCAAACTTTTTGCTTTGAATACCTGGAAGGATGGGGTTGCTGCCAACTGAGATAAGGCCTCAAATGGAACAGGTTTGGAAGACAATATCGGTGGTTCAGTTTTGGACATGTTGAGTTTGAAAAGTTCAGGTGGAGTTTTAAACATGTTGAGTTTGAGACATCGAAGTGGAGAGGTTGAGTAGGAAGTAGGATTTATGAATCTGCAGTTTGGAAGAAAAATCTTGCTTGAAGGTAGAAATTTAGGAGTCATAGGTATATAAATGATTTTTTGAGCCATAAGACTAGATGAGATCACCAAGAGAGTAAGTATAAATAGAAAAGAGTACCAAGGCCTGAGCCCTGGGAGACACCAGCATTAAAAAGTTGAAGAGGAGGTACTTGCAAAGCAGATAGAAAAGGGGCAAATGGTCAGGTAGGAAGAGGAGTGAATGTGGTGTCCTGGAAACCAAGTGAACAAAGTGTATCAAGGAGTGTGTTTTGATAAATCAAATAAGAGGAGAATTAGCTGTTGAATTTAGCAATATAAAGGTCATTCGTGACCTTGAGAAGAGAAGTTTTGGTGGAGTGATGGAACAAAAGCCTGATTGGAGTGGGCTTAAGACAGAATGAGAGAAGAGAAATGAATTAGTAAATATAGAAAACTCTATCAAGGAGTTTTGCTACAGAGGGGAGAAAAGAAATGGGATGGTAACTGGCAGGGTAAAAAGGGCCAAGAGAAGTGGGTTTTGGTTTTTTTTACGTGGGAGAAATAACATATATGTTTGCTGATAGGAGTGATTCAGTGGAAGTGAAAAATTGATGATGAAGGATATAGAGAAGCATTGCTGGAGTGATGTCCTGGAGTACGCAAGAGGATATGAGATCTAGTCCATAAGTGGAGGAATTGGCTTTGCGTGGATAGTTCACCTATGGAAATAGATAGGAAGGCAGAATATATGGGTACAGATATTAAGAGATGAGTGAAAAAATGATGAAGAGAGCAAATTCTCTTCTGATTGCTTCAATTTTCTCATACAGTATAAAGCAAAACCAGCTGCAACTGAGGATGAGAGTCTATTAATATGGTAAATTGCATTGATAGAGTTTGTGATCTTGACCTATCCTTGCATTTCTGGGATAAACTCTTTCTTAATATATTTGTAAAATACATATATGGATTCAGTTAACTAATATCATATTTAGGACTTTCAAATAAACATTTGTAAGTGAAATAGGCCTATACTTTTTTTTAATTTCATATTGTTCTTACGTAGTTTTGGAGTAAAGGTTATGCTTCATAAAATAATCTGGGCAGCTTTTGCTCTTTTCCTGGAATAACTTGTATATGATTAGTATTTACTGTTCTTGAAAAGTAGGTAGAACCTACCTTTGAAATCATCTGTGTCTGTCTTTTTTGGGAAGTGATAACTGACTACCCTTTTAATTTCTTTGAATATTGTTGGTATGTTTAAGTTTTCTGTGTCTCCATGTGCCTGTTAAAACATCTTTTTTTTCCCTATGAATTCATCCATTTCATCTTGATTTTTAAATGTATAAACATTTATAATACTCATTTATTTTAAGAAAACTCAGTTATATCTGTAGTTCTTTTTTTCCTACTGTATTTTCTTCATTTTCATCTTTGTTTTTTCTTGGTTAGTCTGGCTAGAGTTCTATCTCTTTTATTAATCCTTTTTAAAAGAACCAACTTTTGGTTTTCTAAACCTTTATATTGTTTTGGTTCTGTATTTTATTGCTCTCTTTCCTTTTTACTTTTTTGGGGCTCTTTTTCAAATTCATTGATTTAAGTACTCATTTTTAACCTTTCTTGTTTCCTCATGAGTACAGCTTATTTCCCTTTAAATTCTCTCTCCAATTTGATATGTAGTTTCCATTAATTAGTCCCTAATTGTCTTCATTTATGAAAAAGTTTCCTTCTTAATGTCTGCCTTTTCCCCTTAAAGTGACAGAATGTGGCACATCTCATCCAGGAAGCCCTTTCTTCATCCTGCCTAGATGACCTAATTCACTTTTTCCCTTCGATTTACTCTGTTAATCATGACATATTTTAATTGATCACATATTTATCTGTCTTGGATGACTTATTTATTTGCTGCTGTCTCTTTAATATCTATCCTAACATTTTAATATTGCACAGTTCAGCTTAGGCATTTATTAAATGCAAAGATTAAGGAGTATTCTAATAGGACTCTAACTGCAAGGGACAGTGATTCAAGAAAATAACCTCAAGAAAAAGGGGGGTTAGTTATTATAAAAACAAGATCTATAAATGGATCTTGAAAGCCTGAGGAATTATATCAGCTCTAAAAACCACCTTCTCTCTCTTTCTGAATCTTTTCGCCTCTAGTGTTTATGTTCCTTTATGACTTTAGCTTGTCATAAGAAGCCTCATAGTATCCTTTCAGTTTTGGTTTTCACTAACTCATCTTTTTCTCATTACTTCTTAATTCTAATTTCAAAGAGAGGAAATCTGATTGGGCCAGCTCATTTTTTCACATGGCATGACTTGCTGGCCACTGTAGTAGATTGGTTTTTGTGGGGTCAGGTGCCAACCTTCAGTCTGTTCAACTGTGGCTATAGGGTGGAGTCACATGGTTCAGAACATGGCTGCCTAAGGGCTGGCGGTACAGTGGCTGTAGGCAAATATATCCTCCTAGAAGGAAGTGTAGATGGGCAAGGGCAATGATGGAAATCCAACAAGCCTCCAAATAATTACCTTCTGGAGTTAGTTCCATTTCTTTCCAATAATACTGAGAGAGTTAAGAGCAGTATAATAGTAACAATCAGTTCATTGAGCATATCACTTCTCCAATTCTTTATATTTCAACGAAGAACAAAATGGCTTTTACTAAACCACTTAATTATAAAATGTGCGTAAAAAGACAAAGAGCTTGATTAAAAAATGGGCAAAGGATTTGAATAGACATTCCTACAAGAGAATATACAATAAGCACGTGAAAAGATGCTCAGCATCATTAGTGATTAGGTAAATGCAAATCAAAACCACAATGGGATACCACTTCACATCCATTAGGATGGTTATAATCAGAAAGTGGAAAATATCAAGTGTTGGTGAGGATGTAGAGCAATTGGAACCCTAGTATGCCGGTGGTGAGATTGTAAAATGGTGCAGCCGCTGTGGAAAACAGTGTGGTGGTTCCTCAAAAAGTTAAACAAATTTACCATATGATCCAGCAGTTCTACACCTAGGTATATACCCAAGAGAATTGAAAACATACGTTCACACAAAAGCTTGTATGTGAATGTTCATAGCAGCACTATTTATAATATCCAAAAAGTGGAAACAACCCAAATTTCTATCAACTGATAAATGGATAAATAAAATGTGGTATATCCGTACAATGGAAAACTGTTCAGCCGTAAGAGGAATAAGGGACTGATGCATGCTACAACATGGATGAACCTTGAAAACATTATGCTAAGTGAAAGAAACCAGACACAAATGGCCACATATGGTATGATTTCATTTCCAGAATAGGCAAATCTTTAGAAATAGGGAGTAGATTAGTGGTTGCCAGGGGTTAGAGGAAGAGGGAAATGGGAGTGACTGCTAATGGGTATGGGATTTTTTTTGAGGAGGGGTGATAGAAATTTTCTGGAATTAGATAGTGGTGATGGTTACACAACCTTGTATAAAAAAAACCACGGAATTGTATATTTTAAAATGCTAAATTTCATGACGTGAATGATATCTCTATAAAACAAGTTTTTTGCTTAAAAATGTACAAAGGTTTCTAAGCCTTTTTATAGGAAAACACTACTTACAACTATTTTAGTTAAAAATATGTATTGCTTTTGAATAACCATTTTATTATTTAAAATGTGATTACTTGTTTTTTAACAATTATCTGACTTTAGTATTCCAGTATTTGATTAAATTTTCAGCTAAAGGAAGATTTTAATAAAGTAGGATATTTTTCTTGTCTCTCAACAGTCCTTACTTCTGCCTCTCAGGAAGAAGCAATAAATAGTTTGGAGATGCTGTCACTGCCTGAGTATCAGTATAAAAAGGCCAACTTGCCACCTGATACGACAAGAAAATTTTCCTCCTCACAAGATATCAATTCATATATTGAAGAGACTGTAGAATTTCAGAAGAAAAATACAAACAAAATTAAAATCTTAAGCAATTTGTTTTGGGGGAATCGTCCCCAAAGAAAACGCAGAGGATACTCAGAAAAATGTTGTCTTAAAGGATGTACAAAAGAAGAACTTAGGATTGCATGCCTTCCATATATTGATTATAAAAACTTAAAGCAAAAAGGATCATCAGTTGTGACTGAGATATACTAGCCATCATAGAAATTATACTAACTTAATAAAAGCTTAATATATTTTAGTTTATTTTTTTGGTAATTGTCCTTGTAGGTTCTCTGCTGTAAACAACATCTGAATGTACTTGCAAGCACTTGACAATACTTTTTGGTGGTAATAGGAATCTCAGTATTTCCTTTGGTGACCCCTATTTTTCATGTATTTTTATATTTGAAGAAGATGTTACCAGATGTTACTGGTATGATCCATGTGTATGTCTAAGAATTACCTCTTCATTCTTGTCATTATGGTGGAAACTCTCTTAAGCTGCATTTAAATGGATTATGGAATGTTCTGCATTCCATGTATATGACATACAGGCTGATGCCCATGACTATTAGGGCCACTACAGTATGCCAATACATCTGTCCCACCAACTTAAAAATCACTAACCAACTACCACTCCTAGTAGGAGTTCTTATACTGTAATGGTAGGTAGACTTTTAATTCCTTGAGTTTTATTATAGTAACTGGTCAGAAATCTTTTCACAGTTTCTATTGAGGATTTAAAGAAAGTTCATTGAATGTCTTTAGGTTGTAAAATCTCTCCAAGGTATTCTCTCTTTGCTTTGAAAGTGCTGATATAATGTGTCACTCTATTCTGGCTTGGTCAGAATAGAGTGCTGACCAAGCTAGAAGCATTACTATCACCTCGAAACTTGTTAGAAATGCAGTTCTAAGGTCCCACCCCAGACCTGTTGAATCAGGAACTCTGGGTATGGGGCTCAGCAATCTGCGTTTTTACAGGCCCTCCAGGTCATTCTGAAGTAAGTTAAAGGCCGAGAACCACTGGTAATAGAGTCACTATATGAATATTTTTGAAACCCTGCTATTTATGTGCTTGCATCTCTCAACTCAATATAGATGTTACAACACTAAGTTTTTGGTGTATTTTTCCACTTTATGTCCACACATGAAATGTTTTTAACGCTACAAATTAGAGCAAAACTTAATCCAAAGAATCCAAAGTGGAATTCCTACTTTCCACCATTAATTAGGGAATAAGCATCATTTGAAATCTTTCTCTAGTTTCTTCCCCAAATATGTACTATAATGTTCTTTTCAATTAAATTTTTTATTCCTATTTGGCTCTGTTATTTCTTAGGACAAAGGTTCTTTCCCGCATGTATCTACATCATGTACACTTACAATGCATTAATAAATTTGTTTGAATTTTTTTTTTACCAGTTCCAGGCTATAGTCTACATTCAGTTATCTTTCTAAATATAGGGAGCCTCCTGTTTAGAAACAAAATAATAGATTATATCGTGGTTGAGTGGTGAAGTATGTCTGCTAGGTGTTAGATGAAAATGCACCATTGAGAATTGTCTATGCTTAAGCCAAAATGCAGTGATGCACTTGAGCCAGTTTGAAGAATTATAGGTCTGTACTTGTAGTTTAAGAATAGGGGCCAGCCAGGTGGCATAGCAGTTAAGTTCACATGCTCCCCTGTGGTGGGCGGCCCGGGGTTTGCCGGCCTGGATCCTGCACGCAGACTGATGCACCACTTGTTAAGCCATGCTGTGGCGGTGTCCCATATAAAGTAGAGGAAGATGGGCACGGATGTTAGCCCAGGGACAATCTTCCTTGGCAAAAAGAGGAGGATTGGCAACAGATGTTAGCTCAGGGCTAATCTTCCTCACAAAAAAAAAAATGAATTCTGAAAAAATAAAAATACAGCTTATTGGTTTACTAATATATACACATCAAAAGTCCAAATTAGAAAATCATGAGATTAACAAAGCGTGTTATTTGCACAGCTATATACTTCCCTACACACTTTACTAATTTGTATGTTAGGGTGTATTTGCTTTTTGGCTTAGTGCCTGTCTATTAATATTTATAATTATGCTAACAATGATTTTGTGCATTTGGATAGAACACTCATTTTTCTTATGGACTTCTTAGAGCAATCCTGAAGCAAAAAAAATGAATGAAAGATGAGATACCTTGATATTAAGCGACTTGTTGAGGCTCCTTCATGTTAAGTTACTTGCTAGTTAGCGGTAGAGCTGGACCAAGATTCTAATCCTAGCATCTTGTTCAATACTGATGTGAATAAAATCATGAGCAGAAATTATGCATACATTTTTGTTTGAAGTTCATTTATTTGCCCTCTACTTTGTTTAGCATCTCTGTTGATTAGTAATCTATTGGCTCTAGGCCCCAAATCTCCTGTTCTTTATTCTGCTTTTTGATGCCGGGACTTGGATCCTATAAACCACACTGTTCCTTTACTAGCTGGCTTCTTGTTAGGTTCTGCCAGTGGGGCACTAGAGGGGACTCCTTCCCTTTTTGTTCCCTATTTCTTTCAGTATCACTCGGCAGCATTTCTGCTGGTAGTGGCCGTTTGTTTCATTTTATCCTTAACTTCCATAAGCAGCTTCATCACCTTCCCTCAGAAATACCAACACCAGCTGACAGATGCCCCTTGCTCAAAGGTCTGAGTTCCATCTCTGTGGGGGCCCTCCACCAAGCTCCTAATGGTACAAGCATCAGCTGGGCAGCACATTCTCCTGAGAGATCAGGGTCCCAGCTCCATGGGTGCCTTTTTTCCAAGCTTTTAGGTTTTGATAACCTCGGCTTTTTTCCTTTGTTTAGGCGTGGTAGCTGCTTCGTAAAGTTTTTTTTATCTCTGTTTACCTTCGTGTTTGATTTTTTTCCTTTTCAGTCCTCTAATATGAGTCTAACTCTTTATATTAAATTTTCTGTTAAAATACTTGATGTGGTTTCTGTTTTTTTGAGTGGGCTTGAATGATAAAGCTGCTGACAGTAGTTCAGAAAGTGGTTTTGAATTGGTTTAGGGCAAGGATGAAGGTAAATCAGTTTCATATTAAATGGAAACTCCAAATGATTAGTAGTGGCTTGCGTGTTTGCAGTCAATCCTGACCCAGGTAACCACCATCAATATAGATAAGTCTTTCCTTTTCTAGAATTTAATGTAAATGGAGTCATATGGTACATACTCTTTTGTCTGGCTAATTTTACTTAGCATAAGATTTTTGAGATACCTCAGCGTTGTTGCATGAATCAGTGTTTTCTTCCTTTTAATTTTTGCATAGCATTCCATTGTATTAGAATAAAGCTTCTATGAATATTCATGTACAATTTTTTGGTGTAGACATGTTTTTATTTCTCTTGGTAAATATGTGGGAGCAGCAAATCTGTGGCATATGGTAAGTATAAATTTAACTTTGTAAGAAATTGTCAAATTGTTTTCCAAAGTGAGCTCCAATTGCTCCATTTCCTCACCAATACTTAGTATTATCAGTCTTTTTAATTTTAGCTATTCTAGTGAGTGTTGTGCTATCTCATTGTGGTTATAATTTGCATTTCTCTGATGACTAATGATGTTGAGCCTCTTTTGCCCATTTTTAATTCGTTTTTTTAATTAATGAATTGTAAGACATCTTAATAAATTCTTGATACAAGTTCTTTGTCAGATATATGAAATGCACATATTTTCTGCCACTATGTGACTTGCTTTTTCGTTTCTTTAACAATATCTTTAAGAAGTTTTTAATTTTGATGAACTTCAATTTATCAATTTTTCTCTTATAATTAGTGATATTTTGCATTTTATATCTAACAAATCTTTGCCTTTTCCAAGTTTAAGATATTCTCCCAAGTTTTCTTCTAGAAGTTTTATAGTTTTAGCTTTTCTGTTAGGTCTATGATCCATTTGAGTTCATTTTTGTGTATGGTGAAAATAGAGGCCAAGGTTTATTTTTTCCAAATGGCTAACCAGTAGTTCCAGCCCATTTATTGTAGACTGTTCTTTCATCCAATCACCTTGGCATGTCTTTCAAAAATCAATTGACCATACATATGAGTGGATTTATTTCTGATACTCTATTCTGTTCCATTAATTTATACATTTTCTTTATGCCAATATCACACTGTCTTGATTAGTCTAGCCTTATATTAAGTCTTGAAATCAGGTAGTGTAAGTCTTCCAACATTTGTCTTTTTCAAAATTGTATTGGCTATTCTTGGTCCTTTGTATTTCCATATAAATTTTAAAACCATCTTGTTAATTTTTATAAAATTCTGCTGGGATTATGATTGGAACTGCATTGAATCTGCAGATCAATTTGGGGATAATTGAGTTTTCTCATCCATGAACATGGTATGTCTCTCCATTTTTTTGGTCTTTAATTTCAGCAATATTTTGTAGGTGTGTGTTTTTTTTTTTTGGCTGAGGAAGATTGACCCTAGGCTAACATCTGTGCCCATCTTCCTCCACTTTATGTGGGATGCCTGCCACAGCGTGGCTTGATAAGTGGTGTGCAGGTCCACACCTGGGATGTGAACCTGCGAACCCTGGGCTGCCAGAAGCGGAGCGCGAGAACTTACTCACTATGCCACCAGGCTGGCCCCTTAAGTGGTATTTTTAATAATTTTATTTTCTAATTGTTGCTAGTATATAGAAATAGTAAATTTTCATATGTAGGCCATGTATCCTACAATATTGTAAGTTCACTTATAGGTCTAGTAGCTTGTTTTGTTTTGTAGATTGCTTAGGATTTTCTACATAAATAATCATGTCATCTATGGGTAGAGACAGTTTTATTTCTTCCTTTCCAATATGATGTCTTTTATTTCTTTTTCCTTGCCTCATTGCATTGCCTAGAACCTCCAGTACAATGTTGACTAGAGAGTGGATATCCTTTCCTTTTTCCAATCCTAGGAGGAAAGGATTGATTTTTTCACCATTAAGTATGATGGTAGCTTGATTTTTGTAGATGCACGTTATCTGGTTGAACAAGTTCCCTTCTATTCCCAGTTTGCTGTAAGTTTTTATCATGAGTGAGTGTTGAATATTGTCCCATGCTTTTTTTTTGCGTATGTTGAGATGATTATGTGGGTTTTCTCCTTTATTCTGTTAACATGATGAATTTCATTGATTTTTTTTTGAAGATTAAACTAATTTTATATTCCTCAGATAAAATCTTCTTGATTCAGTTTTGGAAGGGTGTATGATTCTAAGAATTTATCCATTTCTTCCAGATTATCCAATTTG